ACTGTAAATATACAAAGTTACACAAACAGTTGGATCTTCTAAACCAAAGACATTCAAAGACACACTAAGTTTTCTGTGTCTGTGTGTATGTGTGTGCATCTGTGTCCATGCACATTCATGTCACCTCTCTAAGCACACCAGATCTGCCAGGCGGACATCATGCAGTGTTTGGAATTAATGTCTTCTTGCTGACATTCTCTCTCATGATATCTTCCACCAAAACATCCCTTCAACTCCCACTTGTTTCCAGGAGTCCTCCTCAGCTTCTTGATGTTTTCTTTCCTATTGTGCTCCCGTCTTTCTTCTCCATCCATTGGGTATTTTGTGCTCTTATTGTATACCACCTATGCTTTTCTGCCTGACCGACTTCTTTCTCTCTTAACGCCTGCTCCTCATTTTTCTCAGTTTGGCTTTTCTTCATATAAATCCTAATCCTATTTCAAAGCTAGACTAAAACTAATGAAAAGTAGCCGTCGGAAACAAAACCTAATGTGACAGACAGGAGAATGTACACATGCACTAATTGCAAATTTTCCTGTCTTACTTAATTAACAGCAGCCATATGCAGACATGTTCTTTGTTAAGTTCCTGATTTGTAAAATGTATCCTCTGCAAAAGGATTTCTTTTTCACAAACTGTTTCTGCCACTTGACATGTCGCACTAATGAGCAGCATTTTGCATTTTAGCTGCTTTATGTCTCTGCCAGAGATGTGTGCTAATATTACCAGTTGTGCGAAGGAAAAAAGATTTACAGACGGAAGATGGAGCGAATCCACAGTCTTAGCGAAAACAAGACAGAACAGATGAGACAAATCAGGAAAACATTTCTGATATTTAAACCGAACTGATGCTGTGCTATGTAACAGGAATATACAATGTGGCTATACAATAAAGTTAAGATTATGTTCAGTTTGATATGCTGGCTGAAATGAATGGCCGACTGACGTTGCGTCTCAGACATTTATTCCTTCCTCTAAATGTCACCTGTAGAAATCTTTCTACGTGAATCTTAACAGATATTTTATCTGCTTGTAACTAAACGCAGACAGTCAGTGCTTTGTTGAGAAAGTCAGCCTTCTGAATGATAAAACTGCAGCGGAAAGCAGAGTTTGCAACAATCAGATCAAGTGAGAAAGAATAACTGTGACTTGTGTTCGAAACTATAATAGTGTTCAAACAGCCAGAGTTTGGATTAAAGATGGATTTATTTTGTGCTGTGAAATTTGTAGGGTGGGAATTTATCTAATGCACGACTGTTATAATTAAGCCTTGATAAATTAACACAGTGCTTACTGACCTGGTTAGAGCCAGGCAAGGTTTTTTCTGTACAAGAAGCATAATCATAAAAGGCAAAAAACATATATGAT